TCTAGACTATGACATCTAGAAACCTATCACTTATTTTTGGTAGATCTACTACAGTATCTTGTAAGAAATTTTGTCAAATGAACAATTCTTCCTGGATACGTTCTGGAAAACTGATAGTAGATGTCAGCCAACGCGCAAAATATGAACATAGAGGTCTAAAAGTTTCTAAGTGCCAATGGCTATAATTGGTGCAAATTTATATTTTGGTGTTGTAAAATGAACTGAGTTATGCGTACATTTATGCCTATAGTAAATCTACCCCTCGCCAAAGGCGGCGGGGATTATATGGATTTCCGAAGCGACGAGTGGTGCGAGTCCACAATGACGAAAGAGCGCCGCTTTAGCCGCCATGCGCTAAGGATGGCCAATGCCGTAGCTTTACTTGATGATTAAACTGGTATCACCAAGATTTTTTGAGCTGGTTGTTGAATCCACCTTCAATTTGAACATCAAGATTGTAACCACCACCTATCAGCTATACCACTCATAATCCTCCCCATCACCCTACTGCATCTTCTTTAATTGCCCATTTTATTGTTTTTAAATGTCTGTACCAAGCACAATGCCTCCGGGCAAACCCATGCCAAATTTTGCGGCATCAACACCACAATCATCAGTCTGGGATCGCATAACCACATGGGCTTCTGAGAACAAGGCAGTTGTATATACGATCGCTGGTGTGGCAGTAGTGGTTTCTGGCGCTGGAGTTGCATACTATTTATTAGACTCAGTAAGTTGTATCTAACCACTGATTTTGGTAGATACATCATCATTGCAGATGCTAATACATAACGTTAGAAGGACTCCACGTCTACCCAAAGCGTGCCAAAGAAGTCAAAGGAAAAGAGGCGAAGGAAGAAGGAAGAAAAGAAGGAAGCCGATTTAGAAAAGGGAACCACGACACCTGATACCAAACCTAAAACACCAGTCGAGACTGTGGATGAGCTTCCTGAGGTTGACGAAAACACGGTGGGAAGTCTATCGGATCAACAACGTAAAGATTATGCCGCCAAGTTGAAGGCAGCTGGTAACACCGCATATGGAGCCAAAGACTATCCTCGAGCCATTGATCTTTATGGGAAAGCCATCCTTTGCAAGCCAGATCCTATCTTCTATTCAAACCGCGCTGCATGCTACAACGCTCTCGGCGAATTCGAGAAGGTTATCGAGGATACTACTGCTGCGATCAATCTCGACAGTGGATATGTAAAGGCCTTGAACCGTAGAGCAAATGCTTATGAACATACCGAGAAATACAGTGAGGCTTTACTCGACTTCACAGCCAGCTGTATTATCGATGGTTTCCGTAACGAGCAAAGCGCACAATCTGTTGAGAGACTGCTCAAAAAGGTAGCTGAGTCGAAGGCAAAGGTCATTCTCGAGGCCAAGGATAAGAAGCTTCCAAGTCCAACATTCGTCACCAACTACCTCCAAAGTTTCCGATCAAAACCCGCGCCGGCAGGATTAGAAGATAGCGTTGAGATATCAGAGGAAACAGGAAAGGGCCAATTACAACTCGGACTTCGAGCTATGGCAAAGAAGACCAATGAGGGATATGAAGATGCTTCAGCTGCATTTGAGAAGGCCTTGGATTTGGGTGATCTCGGTGAACATGAAGCTTTTGCGTACAACATGCGTGGAACATTCAGATATCTTCGTGGCGTACAAATCGATGCTTTAAGTGATTTGAGCAAGAGTATCGAACTGTCGCCCGACTACACACAAAGTTACATCAAGCGTGCAAGCATGCATTTGGAACTTGGTTAGTATTTACCGTCCATTAATTTATGATTAGCTACTAAAACAAAAAATCAGGTGACAAGGACGCCGCTGCCGCAGATTTCGATAAAGCTATGGAACAACATGACGATGACCCTGATATCTACTACCACCGTGCCCAACTCAATTTCATCCTCGGAGAACTTTCACAAGCAGCAAAGGACTACCAAAAGTCTATTGATCTCGACCGGGACTTTATCTTCTCGCACATTCAACTCGGTGTTACACAATATAAGATGGGCTCAACCGCATCATCTATGGGAACATTCAGACGCACAATCAAGGCATTCGAAGATGTACCTGATGCATACAACTACTACGGAGAGCTTTTGTTAGATCAACAGAAGTATGATGAAGCCATTTCACAGTTCGAGAAGGCCGTCGAGTTGGAGAAGCAAACTAAACCATTAGGCATGAGTGTTCTTCCACTCATTAACAAAGCTCTTGCTCTTTTCCAATGGAAGCAAGATTTCAGTGAGGCTGAGAAGCTTTGCGAAAAGGCTCTTATCAGTACGTTGATTCTCCCGCAGCCCTTTGTTTCCTATACTAATGTAATCTTGAATAGTCGACCCTGAGTGTGATATTGCTGTCGCAACCATGGCACAACTTCTTCTTCAACAAGGCAAGGTAACTGAAGCACTTAAATACTTTGAGCGAGCAGCAGAATTATCCAGAACAGAGGGAGAAATTGTCAATGCGTTGAGTTATGCTGAAGCCACGAGGACACAATTGGAAGTCCAGGAGAAATATCCAGAATTGGCGAGCAGATTAGCGGGTATGAGTGGACTCGGAGGAGCTGGTATGCGTTAATTTTCAAGAATTGAGCGGTTCTGATGAGTTGAGTGGAATGATAAAGTGATGATTCTGATATCATGAATGAATTGATGGGCAACGTGGTTGGAACATAATCAGCAAAGAAACATGGAGAATGTTGAGGTTGAATGGATGTGTTGACTCCATGATTTGATCTTGAGTAAAAAGAAAGGCAGAACGAAAGCACAATTCAATGTAAAATTATTATTTCTCAACTCATGGTGAAAGGCCTGGTCCACTCACTCATGAAATTTGGAGGTCTGGGTGAGGTGGGAGATGGAGTTTGTAATATAATATGAGGGGATGAGTTATGAGATGTATGATTGTGAATGAGGGTATTCGTGGTTGAAATTAGTGAGTGAATGTGTATGGGTAAGTATGATTGTGTTCATGTATTTGGTTTTATGGCTATGTGATTTGTTTTCACAAGCGCTCAGGACTAGTTGTTTCGTGGGTTGATGAGATTTATGTGTGTATTGTTTGTGTTTTCTACTTTTATGAATAGGATAGGTATTGGAGGATTGATGTTTGAGAACAAGTGGGTCGAATGAGATGGGAGTTTGTGTGTAAGGGGGAGAGAGGGGGTAGAGAGGGGAGAGAGTGGAGAGAGAGTGGAGGAATTGAGAATGGTAGAGACCTGGTAGTGATGTGTGGTTTAGGTTTTTGGGGGAGTGGGAATGTGAGATGTGTGTTATGTGATGCTGTATATGAAAATGAGTATGGTAGTCAATGTATCGACTAGGCTTCAGATCGCTTGAAGTATAGAAGTGTCTGTTGGGTGTTGTGTACTAGGTGTTTATATGTTGGTTGGGTGGGAGAGAGGGATTTTGTTTGGATGATATCGGAATTTGGAATTTGGAATTTGGAATTTGGAATTTGGAATTTGGATTGGAATTTGGAATTTGGAATTTGGAGGATAGGTGGTTTGGATAGGTGGTTGGGAGATTGGGAGATTGAGTGGGTGATTCGGGATTCGATGGAGGTTTGTTGGGTGGGCGAGGGTGTATTGTTTTCGAAATGAGATGAACATCTCAATACGTATTTCTCCTATTTATATTCATATTCATATTCATTTCCATCTCAATTTCAATTTCAATTTCAATTTCCATTTCAATCTTCGCATCTACCTACGTAGGTCGGTAAGGTATCACAATATGTATACCTGCTCTTCCACTCTACACGAAATCTCGCTTCTCATTTTCTAATACCATACTAGACACTCTTATAAAGGCAATGCCTCACGAAGCGTCGATTCAATCAGGCGCTTTTATGCCAACGTCAAGAGGACTAGAATAGATATGTATACAGAGAATACATACATACCTATAGCTGGCTACAAGCTAGCTACATGATCTCTATCCGCTCTGAATGATTAACCGAGGGGTCCCTGTTCAACCCGTCCTGTGCTATTTCGTCAGACGTATACGAAAACGTGATCGCGTGGGTTTATGAACTGCTTTGGGACTTGGGGAAGTACGTATGCGTGTGTGTATGTGTGTATGTATGCATGTGTGTGTGAAGTGAGTGAACCGGTTTTGAGGTGTTACGATATCGCATTCGTTTATTAGTTGGTTTAGGTGGGTTTATGGAGGTGGGTAGGTAGGTAGGCAGGTAGGTAGGTAGGTAGATATGTATGTGAGGAGGCGGGGTGCAGAGATTCTGGAACAATGCATGGGAGGGTGTGTGGGTGTGGGTTATTCGGGAATCGGGGGGCTGTGAGATGTTGTGGAATGTGTTAAGATGTAGAATGCAGATAGGTAGATAGATGGATATCATGTTGAGTGAATATTAAGAAAATGCTTGTGTATATAGGAATTGTTTTTTCTTCTAGTCTGTATAACCATACCCATCGACGTAATAAAGCCTCGTCTCTTCGAGAGCCTTTATTTTCATTCAAAGGATAGTCATGTGATTTACACGTGATATTGATTTTTTCTCCGTGTATCAAAAACATTGTTTGCACAGCAGCACCACACATCGATCTCCAAAAGAGCAAATGATCTTCTTCATGCTTATATCAATCAGTCTAAAAAGGTATGAACAAAACGAACGAAATGGATAGCTGAGTCATTTATTAGTCGTACACTGATTTCCAACTAAGGTGCCCAGCTGCTGTTGCCTAGTATTGGATTCTGCAAAGTTCGAACATCCCCCCAGATTCTTTTTTCTTCTTCGCTTGCTCGCCTCACTTCCCTCACCACGCAATCCGATGCAAGCCTCACTCTCACTTAGCACAGGATTCACACTTTTTCTCACTTCTTATCTTTGAACCTTCACTTCACTTCACTTCATTTCATTCTTCAGGTATAATCAATCAGTACATATCTATTATCGTAGGAAGAAGAAGATCAATCACTCGATGAGCATGAAAAGCTTACAATCATTTATTTCTTCGTTGGTTTGTCTTCTTATTGAATAAACAAGAATTCATTCATTGGCTGTCGTGTCGCACTCTTTCTACTCCCCTTCCACTGCCCGCGCGCCCGGAATCCATTTGTCTTAATGCCCGATTCTCTCACCGAAAGCCACTCGCTCCCTCACCCATCAACTCTCCCTCATCATATCACTTCTACCACACGCACCTCGTAAGCATTTTGATCGCTTGCTTCTCCATTAGTGTCGCATATATATATATATATATATACATTTTCAAACTTTGTATTTTGCCTCATTACTCTCTTTGGAAATTTTATCTCGCGAACCATTTTCCTTTCCTCGTCTACATACAGTACTCCGAGTTGTCACTTGAACCATGGTTCATGATTAAGCGCACGGGTCATTTGCCCTGTGTATGCAAAGGTCTTCTTCGACTTCTCTCTCATTGCTCGCGGCTCTTCCCACATCAAATAACATTTCTTATACTTTTAAGACTTTGATACATTGGTTATATCTCCTACAACTTCTCTTATATCTTTCCTCGGTTTGTTATATCGGGTTGAGTAGATGCTTGTCAGAGTATGGACTGACAGCTAATAGCAATGTCGATGCATCCAAGCTATCCCCGTAATGGGAGTTATCCACGCCATGTATGATCAATCCTTCCCCCTTTCAACTTCTTCCATGGCCTGTGTTCTGATGGAAACTCGTAGTATTATCCCTCACCTCCTTCCATGCACACTTCAGATTCCGGATATGGTTCTACACGAGGAGAGATGGGTCCGCCATCATTAGATTTTCCACCTCAACCTATTGAGATTGATCTGAGTAATTCGCGGACCCTTCCAAGTCCTTCCCCTTCTTCTTCGGTTGCTTGGGAGCCAACGTTGTTTCCTTCTCCCCACGGATTTCCTGATTTAAATTCCCCATATGGACCAATTTCCAGGATGCAACAACTGCCAATGGATCGTGCGACAGGCCAGGCTCCATTACTCCAATGGTATGCCGATAATGATGGTCCTTGGTATCCCAAGACAATTTCAGATCCCATCTCAGAGGAAAGAGCAAATGTCAAGGTTCGTTCAAATAATCGTGCACCCGTTGCTTTTGGAGGGCCGTATCGTCAACAAGATCCCTTGGAGAATGGATCCTTTCATTTCGGTGGCCCACCACAATCAGATTCTGGATATGGAACCAGAAGGAGCCATGGAAATGCTTCAATCTTTAGCTCTGATATTAATGATCGCGATCAAGACTGTCAAAGCTTAGCAGGTCATGTTGCAGACTATCAGCCCTTTCAGGGGTTGAATGAAGCATTGCAATCTCGCGAGAATACGACACCCGAAACATGGCCAACACATCTTCCGGCTTCTATTAACTCGCCAGGTCTGTTCTGTCAGACCTGTCAAAAATCCGTAAAAACAAAATCTGAGTTGAAGTCCGTTCCCATAGTGATCTGCCATGGGGAATCACTACTAATTTTTCACAGGAAGCATGATCTACGACATAAAAAGCCCTTTGTGTGTAACTTTCCAGGTTGTGGAAGAACTGAGGGATTTAGCACAACCAACGATCTAGATCGACATACAAAGAGCAAACACTTCTTGGCTATGACCTCGGAGGTGGAGTCAATAAAAAGATACCGCTGTGTTGTACCTGAGTGTAAGTCCAAGGATAAAGCATGGCCACGACTCGACAACTTCCGTAGTCACTTGAAACGAGTTCATTCGAACGTCGTTGGATCGGAAGAGAACTTGGAGAAGATAATACGACAGTAGGTCTGAGAGGACTTCAATAACATTTGGTAGGACTAATATTTTTTAGGGCTGAATTTCTGGAACCCTCAGGTTTGCCTCAAAATGCCCATCTCACTACAGAAGCGTCTACCCACGATGTCTCGCACAACAGGGAAGTTAACGAATGTTCACCAAAGGCCCAGGTTATCAAATCCAATTCGAAGCCCGTCTATCCAGACTTGATCCAGGATTTAGTCGCCCCAACGGAAATTCCAATGGAGAAACCTCTCGTCGCGGATGTGAATCCCAGTGACACTGCTATACCTGGACCGAACAATCCTCCCGCGGATCCACATACTAGAGATACCATCCAACCATCGGAATTATTTCGGAATCCATCAGAGGTTGTTAACAAAATCTTTTTGGATATGTCGACCCTAGTGGGTACAAAGAGTGCTTTGAATCGTAATCTTGATCATGTAAGCCGTCCATCGGTGGAGAGAAACCCATTACCACCTGCAGGTAAGGCAACTCGACATAGTAGCGTCTCAGCCACCGATGCAACCATTACCGAAGCAATCAGAACCGCATTAGCAGAGGCAAAAAATTCATCCAACGTTGGTGCATTGCCGATGGGACGGAAAGTCTTGCCTAATGGAAAATCTCCCCCCGCTGATCCCTGGGGATCCACAACGGATAAAGCTGCATGCTTACTAGATGGATTTAATAAGTCTACTTCTTCTACAACAGATGATTCCCTGGACCAGGAAAAAGCGATTGAGGTTTACAAAACCCTGCAAAAGCTAGGTTACATTATTCAAAAGGATCCAAATCATACACCTCGGATACAAAACCCAGGATCTGTTGCCAGCAACAAGAGTGAAAACCAAGTCACCTGTGAGGTTTGTAAAAAGTTTAAAGGAAGACCTTGCGAGCTGAAGTAAGCTCAAAATCTATCTCTTACATCACTGTTACTAATAATAAATAGGAAACATATGAAACGGCACGAGAGGCCTTACGGCTGTACTTTCTCGGCTTGCAACAAAACCTTTGGAAGTAAAAATGATTGGAAACGACACGAGAACTCGCAACATTTCCATTTGGAGACCTGGCGTTGCGACAATGAGAAACCCGAAGGTGGAGCATGTGCGAAAGTCTCTTATCGTCGTCAAGCATTCCAAGAACATCTAAAGAAAGAACATGCCATCATTGACCAAGATGCTGTTAAGACTAAGGTCGATGCTTGTCGTATTGGCCGTAACTGCCAGGCTCGTTTCTGGTGTGGTTTTTGTAAGACGCTTGTTGATCTTAAGAAAAACGGTCTTGATGCCTGGATAGAAAGGTTCGATCACATAGATAACCATTTCATGGGGCGCCACGGACTTCAAAAACAAAGCATTCAAGATTGGATTCCAGTTGATAGTGACAAACCCAAGGGCGACGTTGCCAGTCCAAATCACCTAGGTGAATCTTCACCTGAAAATGACCATCAGGAACATTCGACCGATTCTACAGATGACTTTGGTAGGAGCTCACCAGAATTTGTCGGCAATAAAGGAACCTCATCTACTTTGGTGGGTCAAGAACCCAGGGTATCAAAGAAACGAGAACGCAACGACGATGAGAATGACAGGCCATCAAAGTATACAAAGATTGGAGAGATTGTTTACTGTGTACGCGCTCCCACTTTACTGTGCCATATGCAATTGCTAACGTATTTATAGTGTCATTGTGCAGATGATCTAGGACGTACTCTTGCTCTTAGTCCCAAGTGTACTTCCTGCAATCATGATTTTTGCAACGAGTGCAAGAGCGATTCAATTGATAATTGTGAAGGTCAAAAAGTCTGACATGTTCATGAATATTATTTGGAGTTTCTTAATGTGGTTGATTGAACACTTTCATTTAAGAAAGGATAACCGTGTAAAACTATTGGGTCTGCGATGTAATTGGGCAGGAATTTGAAAACAATGGGAGGGAAGATACCCAGGAATTTTTTCTTTGGCGTTTGCAAATTTAACCTTACGGTAGAAAGAAATTGTTTTCCATGGAATTCAAAGGTTAGCGAGGGGCACAGTACTCGTAAACTGATTTTTTGGACATACTACATCTCCGATGGTGGGAGGCATGAATGACCGTGTTGAATAACAACTCCAATGGTTGGAATACGATGTTTTCAGCCGCAGTGATAACCGCTTTCCAATCCGGCCCATGAAGGAGTTATTTCGCTTAACACACCGAATAGATTCTAGATGGTGTAGTGTAAATAGAGCTCATAGGATAATATAGAAAACCACAGTTGGAAAAGTTGTCTGGGATCAAGGGCAAAGCCACATCATATGCGACTTTCCCTCCACGTGGCGTACCCTTTCTACGACGTGAATACATGTGAAGCTAGACCCCTTTGGTTCACCGAGTTTTAGGGTGGAAGAGTGGTTTGGACATGTAGGTAGGTGAAGGGCGAAGCAAGCGGGACCAAAAAGTGAGGCTGCATATATGTATGTGTATCAATTATCTGTATGTGGAAGGAGGGGTATTCTTGATTTTTTAAGGGATATCTTCATGGGCGTTGGAACTTGCTTACAGGGCATTGTTGGGTTTGGTGTTGCATGCATTCGGAGATCTTGAAGATTAAATTCATATGTGAGCAGACACTACTCGGTGGCATGGGAAGATGTGGTATCTTTGTAAATACTACTTCATCGTACTCGATCTTCAATGCGAATAGCCGAGTATGTGTAGCATTTGAAGAACGACTTGGTTTAAATTGGGAGAAATAGGGTGAAATGGACAAGAACAAAACCAAACCCGATTGATCTAACCGACCCAGCGAATTAACGAACGAAAATGCATGTCAAACGCTTCATTACATCAATTAGATTGAGATGCATTAACTGCGACCGCGATACAGACTCGGTAAGATATGTATTTGAAATGGTCTCTGTTATCATTTGGGGGCTGTTTTCAATATCGGCGATTGGGATATTGGGGCATTGGATGGTGTGGGTGGGGGCTAGAGTGCTGACACCCAAAAGAAGTAGAATGAATGAAATGAAATAACATGAACCAATGAGGAAAGAAAGGGAAAAGGGGAAAGGAAAGAAAAAATGTAAAAGAAAGGGATTGGGTGTTCTTGGCTGTACAATGTATGATTTGGAGCAGAAACGAATGCGAATATTGTGTTACAGCAAATTCTGGAATCAAAGGCGAAGCAAAGTACTGTACTATAGTTCTAAGCGAAGGAGCGGAAGAAAACAAAGTTTCCCCAATGAACCCGATCGTATCGAATGAGAATTTTATTTTGTGCCGAGAGAACTCTCTCAATTGACGGAACGGCTTGTGGATTCCATTGAAATGACGGCTAAAACAATAATAATAATTCTCGATTTTGAAGAATTGACGTCGAGGTCTGCCTAGCGGTCGCCTTGTCCGCCTTACACCATGTACAAGGATAAATCCTGTTTCCCATTGGTTCTGATGTGGAATCCATGTTGAGATGGTAGGAAGAGGAAACGAAAGAGCGATGAAATGAAATGTATGGAGAGCTCCATCTGCACGATTGACTAGCTCGGTCGGGTCTCCACTCGCATCAGGATTGAGAATATCGACATGGGGAAATTGTTTGAGGTGGTATGCGGTGCCCTGTCAGAGCTGCTTCAAGCCATCAAGGAACATGAGGAATGATGAGGGGCGCAGCACAGGGAGAGTCATCGATCTCCAATACATTTATGGGCTCAGGGGATATGCACGCCAGAGTCGACATACAGAAACGTTCGAATTATGTGAGGAGATCCTTCACCGGCCTCCTGTGGGGCCTACCCTTCTTCTCACAATGCGGCTCTGTGATGAATTGCGAATGAATATGTCGCTCCCAAATGGTACACATATGAACTTTTGTGGAGGATATGTTGAGGCTTGGTCCACATACATTAGAGATTTGTCGTGCTGTTTCTGATTTCTTTGTTTCCTGTATCATCGGAATACATCATATCTATTACATACATAACAACTGCGCCTATCGTTCTCGCTACTTCGCCTCAGACTTTCCCCAAGTCTCAATACCTCCATATCTGACTGTCGACCAGTGGATTTCATGACCTGACATTTTGAAATTCATGATTTTGTTTGTGCATAAATAAAACAAAAGCTTGTGTGTGTACAAAAAAAGATTTATTATTGTTTGTTTGTTATCTGCAAAAGGATTTATTGGAAGTCGCAGCAAGGTGGAGATACTCGAATTACGTTTGTGAGTTCTGTTTGTTCTGTTTGTTGTCTCTCCTGTCCTGTCGTCTTAACTCATGAGTTTATTTGGGATACACAAGAAACTCATTCTCGCAGTAGGATCAATAAGAAAACAAACAAATATCAGCTATATTCCTTCCAAGCTTATTGCTTTGCATCTCTTTCTCTTCCAGAAGCTTAGCTCCGCCCCATTTCTCCAGTCTAGAATCGTGGGGGCCAAAAGCAAAAATCAAAACCGAAGACGCATCTATATTGGGTATTCGATTACTTCAACTTATATTATTTGGACATCATGTCTTACGATACTTTACCTTACTCGACTATGGAACCACCTTTCTTCCAGGAAAATAGATCAAATCCTCAATCTTTCCGTCATGAGGATTTGATGGACATTGAAAGTTCTTGGATACAAAATATCGATCCACTTCTTCGCCAGTCTCAAATGAGCTCTCCGGATTTCGAATACCGTCAAAACTTACCACAGCAACCTTTACAAAGATTCATCACAGAGCCGGGACGAGCTCTCTTTACTACTGTTCCAACCATGACTCACTTCGATAGCTTTTCCAGACCACCCCATAGAGCATTCGAACCCGTTAGTGTCTATCCTCAAGCTTCTCGAACAAGAATGATATCCCCATCTCCTTCCCAAGAGCTCTCTTCCAACTGCAGTAGTGCTCGAAGTCCAGCTACCGAAACAGATTGGTATCACGATGGATACTATTCCTCTCAGGGCCAAGATGATTACACCCTACCCAATATCTCTCACACTACCTCGCAAAACTTCTCTGATATATGGACATCACCACAAATTCTAATCGGACAGCCAACTGGATATCCATGTGTTAATCTCAGTGATGTTCAGGCATTTGCCGACCCGCAAGAAATCAAATTCGAGACCGATGAAACATATGTCGATTATGCGATCCAAGCATCAGAATCCGGAAGTCACAAATTAGTTTCCCATATATCACATTACAGAGATGAGGGATTGGGAGCTTCGATTCGAGATGCTGCATCTCCTCAAGCAATTTCTATTCAAGCTTCGAATAACGACAATACATCTACGATTTCTGATGCTGATGTTGATGCACAAGGCGATGGGATTGATGTTCACACCAATGGGAAAATAGACATGGAAACAGAGATTGATTCCGAACTACTACCCCAAGATGGAGACATCGAAGAAGAAGACGAACCATCAGACACAGAATACACACCCCGTCCCTCCACCCGCAACCCACGCAAACGCACCAGCACAACTACATCCTACTCTCCCCCCACCCCAAAACGCAACCGCATATCCAATTCCTCGACATGCACATCTAGATCCTCTTCCAAATTTTCCTCTGGAGGTCTCTCCTGCAAACAATGCGCCTCTTCCGGCTTCAAGGATACCCCCAGTCTCCAACGCCACATCGCATCCGCGCACCCCCGGGCTTTCATCTGCGTCTTCAATTTCGCGGGTTGCGATAGTACGTTTGCTTCGAAGAATGAATGGAAACGACATGTTTCCTCGCAGCATCTCAATCTGCAAGCTTGGGTGTGTACCCTTGGATCTTGCGGTAAGGTTCCTTTGAGTTCGCACTCGCACTCGGCTTCTACGATGCGGAAAGGTGCGGAGGGAAATGCGAATGCGAATGCGAATGCGAATTTGCAAGCGCGTGGGTATGGAGAAATTAAAGGCGCGGAGTTTAATCGGAAGGATTTGTTTACGCAGCATTTGAGACGGATGCATGCGCCGTTTGAGGTGAAGAGGAAGGGGAAGAAGAATGTAGAGTGGGAGGTGCGGGTGAAGGTTTTGCAGAGCAGTTGTGAGAGGAGTCGACGGGAGGCGCCGGAGAGGTTGGGATGTCCGATGAGGGGTTGCGCGGAGAGGAATGAAGGGTTGGGAGTGTGGTTTGAGGGGAGAGGATGCTGGGATGAGAGGATGGAACATTTGGGGAAACATTTGGAGAGTGTGGGGAAGGCTGGGGGAGTGATGAGGCAGGAAGATGATGGACTTTTTGTGGAGTGGGCGGTTGAGCAGAAGATTATTGAGAGGGGGGGAGGGGAGGATGGATTCTTTGTAAGGGGAAGGGGGGCAATGGGTGGGCGAGGAAGAGATTTGTGGGGGCTTGGATAGGAGTGAGGGGAGATGTGTGGGAATCAAGGTGGAGGGTGGAATGGAGGAGGATTTGGATGCTGAGGGGGAAGACGAGTAATGAAGAGATTTGAGAGAATGGACTCCTCTCTCTTTCTTCTTTTTTTTTTTTTTTTGTTGAAATGTAGGATTGTGAAGGCTATGAATCTGAACATCCCAGCCACGCAGGCTCACGAAGTACAAAATACGAAAAACGAAGTTATGAATGATGGGTACGGTCCACGGATTGTGGATAATGCGGCGTTACATTCCCACTATTTTCTTTCCGTTATATTTTCATATTTCTCGGGCTGCGGTTACGAGAATTAGATAGTATTTCGTTCATGTTGTGCTCTGTTCTGTTCTAACTTGGTGATAAGTAAGGATGATGTATTTTCTTCCTTCTTATTCTTATAGGAATGGGATTGAGCTTGGGTTGGGTTGGGATTAGTTACCTATGTTAAGTTAGATTAGGTTCGATCAATAATGGATTGCTTGGTACATATAGCTTGATATCTATTTCTTCCAATCTAGATACTGGAAGGTTTGAGTGAGTTATAGAAGCATGACGTGTTGAATTTGCTACTCTTTGCACAGCGACAAGGGAGTTGAATTGATATATCTATATTCAGGATGTACTGCTCTTGCAATGGACATCCATATGAATGAAGTATTGGAGAGTCCAGGTTGAAACTGACTAAGAGCGATACTCTTGCTACCTCTCAAAGATACTTCATTACTTCAGAATATGCCTCTTCAGACTGACTCAACCCCTATTGACAATCTCCTGCCTACCAACGATCTTCGCCATTCTCTCTTCACTCTGTGCCTCTCCCTCTTTAAACCCCATCGCACTCGCTAAGCTTCTCGCTTCTTCGTATCTTTTCCTTGCTTCCTTGATGTCCCCATCCATTTCTGCGAATTCTCCTAGATTATGTGTTGCAACAGCACATCCGAGATCACATTCTTCAGTTCTTTCTGGGGGTGCTATTTTTGCACAAATTTCTAGGGACTTGGTAGCCCATGCGCGGGCATTTTTGATTTGTTGCGAGCGGGATATTATGGGTTGACCTAGTTCTGGTGGTGGATTTTGTTGGGCCAGTGAGATGGAGAGATTGTTCACTGTGGAAGGTGGTTAGTGGGAGGCTTTGGGAAAGTGGAGAGAGAACAAACTTAGAACGGCTGTGTGGCAGGTAGCTGGAGTAGAGAGAGCGATAGCTTGGAGGAATAGGGGTGCGGCAAGGTGGTGTTTATCGGTTGCTTCATAGTGATGTGCAAGAGCTAGAAAGAAATTAGCTTGATCCGAATTGACGTCTTGAATGGAGTTATAAACCCTCAAAAGTTCCGCCCATCTCTTCATCTGATAACCAAACCTCTTCCCCAGGTCTGATTCCTTCTTTCTGTCTCCTCATTTGTTCCTTTAATATCGTCTCCACCGCATACACCAAGCTTTCCTCGGCCTTATCTGGTTGTAAAACGTATTCCCCGTTATATAAATCAGCAATTTTGACACTGATCTCTACCATCCTCCTAAGAACTCTCGTCCTCTTGCCAATATTCCTCTCTAAATCTCCCAATTGCTCCATCCATTTCCCACAGTCATCTCTCATAATTTCGTAAACACCAATCGCCTTATCATAGGCTTGAATTTTCTCTAATAAAACACAAACAGATATCTTGATTCCGAGATACTCGTCAGAAAATGGGTCCATACCCATCTCATCTGCAACTCGCAAAGCCTCTTTGTAATATTTAATAGCATTCTTAGGTTCAAGAGACATATTGGTGTAGTAAAGGGCCTTTCGCAGTTGCTTTGCTACAGGTTCTGGAAAGGCTTTGAAACCGTCGATTATGTATTTGTTATACCACCAATTGATATATCCTAGACAGAAGACTCCGAATCCTATACTGTATTTGCAAATGCTGTATTAGCACTGCACATCAAAGCCGTGAAAGCAGACGGATATGAGGTGTAAATTACGCTATTGTAGCTCCGGTCATGCTATATGGATGTGCTTTAAAGAGTATTTTGGCATTCCTCGTGAATGAACCTTTGGAGCGGTTGATCTTAGGTTGTGCTCCTCGTGTAGATTGCCATCTCTGCTGCTGTGTTCGACATGGTACGGAGTTTCTAGTAGCAGGTCTACTGGACCTTGTAGCTTGCACTCGTTGTTGACGAAGACATTGCGATGCGCGATTAGAAGCGCTGGCAGACCCGAGTGAGGTTGCGAACCTTGGTGTAAACATTTCAGAAGTTGTCTCTATAACAATCGCACAATTAAATATGGAAGTCTAGGCGCAATTGTCGTCGGCGCACTTTGTAAAGCTTTGGTCGTCCGAGAGCTTCATAAAATTAACGATTTCCTCCTGCAAGACATTTCACCCTAACCAAAACCCCTGTCTCCCGCAATACGCTAACCAATGAATGACGCTACCCCACATCATCGACGAACGTCAGCTTTCTGTTCCATCGCAATATTTCTCTTCAATCAACCTTCACTTATCATAACACGTTTCACTCAAAATGGCTGGTAAATTCGAACCTAAAACTCCTGTAACTCTGAACCCACCAAAGTACGATCCTATTTCGGTGGAAGAACTTGCGAAATGCAATGGTAGTTACGATCTCTTTACAATCTCCGGAGATGAGGGGCTAACATGTTGAAAGGTTCTGATAGTGATAAATGCTATGTTGCAATCAAGGTACATTCTCAACTCTGCATGTTTCACACCGCAATGCGCAAAACTCATGAGACCTAGGGCAAAGTCTACGATGTAACAGGAAACAAAGCATATCTTCCTGGCGGTGCTTACAACGGTATTTCTTTCCAATCCCTTTTTATTCAACACCGCATGTTCTCCTCACTAATCTCTCCTCTATACTTTCAGTATTTGCTGGCCACGATGCTTCCCGCGCTTTAGCCAAGACTTCTACTAAAGCTGACGACGTATCCTCGGAATGGTTCGATCTCGATGATAAAGAGAAGGGTGTACTTAATGACTGGAATACATTTTTCTCGAAACGATACAATGTCGTGGGGCTCGTAGAGGGGGCGCAGAACTTGGATCCAAATGACAAAATAGAGGGTGCTTCGAGTTGAAAGTTTGCAGACGCATTATTGAAGTTGTGAGGGTTGAACAGGCTGTGGTGTGCGATTCAGACATAAAATTGAATTTAGCGAGTTATGATTTGAGCTTAGCAGGCGAATCAAGTTTTCATTCGGTCGTGTAGAAAATACCTGCAGAAGTCGCCTTGGTATATTTTATCAGGAGGTAGCCGGTCGAGAGTCAATTTCTGGTTTATCATATAATTTCTAATTTCTGGTGCTCTGAGAGCCATTATCACTTCAACTCGATTGCTTCGCTACCCAAGCATCAGGCTGTATACCTAGGTAGTCATTCCTCTGCTTTTCATAAGTATCCTTTCTTCTATCCCAAAATAGTCTCTCCAAAAAAATTAAACTAAATCACAAGGGTTACTCTTTTAGAGGATCAACAGAGTTGAAGGACACAGAAACCTTTTCGCCCTCATACTAGGCAGGAGGAAAGCCCCATAAAAGAAAAACACCATGCAACACTCCTGGTCGCTACACTACGAGGAGTTGGTATTACTTCCCGACGTTGCTTGTTCGTCAACGAAGTAGCCATTATAGTAGTGAAAACACACCTACCTATTCAATCTCAGAAGAGCAATGAATCAATTTTCCGTTATTTGTCTACCTTCTTTGTCTTTCCCCACTGTTTCAAACCCGAGTTCCTTTTATTTTGGTTATATGGAGATCGAGAATCAGAAGACACGACCTGTATTTGTACGGTGCGTGCGATGCTTCAAGTTGCATGAACTTTTTCTCGGTGGATGTGATCAGATTAAAGGAAACTAGACTAGTGCGAGATGACGAGAGGTAGAGGAGTGCTGATGCCGTGAAAGGATAGTGCTGATAACGGAGCGTAGAATGGATGTGTGTTTACAGGTGTTGGTGCTTTCGAGAATGTATATCATTTCTCAGGATTAAAATGAGCAATGCGTGCTGGTGGGAAGAGACGAGTTCAATGTTAGCAAAGCAAGATTCACCTTACCTAGTGTTCTAAATTACCCGAGCCAGAGATGTAATGATATCAGAAATTTAACATGGTTTTTATATTTCCTAGATGATTTCCCCAAACTCATAGCCAAAGAGTAGACTATCCAACCAATCCCACTACAACCCTTGCCCATCCAGATTCCCAACAACCCCATAACTCCTCGGATCAGAAAGCAATGCACAAATATAGGTATCCTGAGTCAGCCACGCCTCAAACGCCTTCCCAATGCATCTCAATACTAGAGAAGATTATGTTGGCACGATCGAGGATAGATAAAATCAAGGAAGCGAGCGAAGACGAATGCAAACCTTCTCCCCGCATAGATAAATATATGTAACTCAGTCCGTAAGCAATTCGCCGGAAACTTGCCGTCGAAATAAATATTTAAAGACGATTGACTGAGAATAGACGTTCCATTCATGCCATGCAGGTTTTCATATTTTCACCGCTGAAGGCAATCATTTCTTCAAAACGGCATCGTACATGGTAAACAGGATCCCAATAGCGGTCCCAACAAGCGTGCTCTGATATCCCCCATAAAGTGCCGAATTAATTCTTGCCACGTGCTTAAGGTCCACGAGCCCACCAAGAGTTGCGCCTTGGCCGTAAACTACGAATGTTATGAGTCCCTTTACGATGTTGAATGTCAATGGATCAAACGAATAATGTTTGCTTCGCGTGCTTGGTTTGCTTGTCAAATTGTAGAAGTATGCCGCAAACAATGGAAGTAAGAGACTTGTGGATAACCACAGAGCAAAAGGACCCCAGAAAGACGTGGTCAACAAAAGGAACAGATCCGGAATTTTGACCGCGTATTCGGAGGTATTCAGGAAATGGAGCGGGGGAATTGTGAATGCGTATTTGTTTTGTAAAAGTTCTGGTTGAAGTTGTAGTGCCTCTGATAGTAGCATGATGAATTCAAGGGCCACGACGGTTGATACAGTTTCACGGGCAGTCTCCACAGCTTCGACTATACCTAAATCCTTATAGTATTCATTTGCTTTCGCGCGTAAAACTGCCGTGCGTCGATCGATAACATCTGCGACAACGGCAGGAGATGGTGGGATAGGGACGTTTGATGCAAATGTGATCGCGTTCGCGCGAGGAGTTTGTGTAAGAGCAGTACTAGAGCGCGCGATTGCTCTTTCAGATTCCGAATCATCACTACAAAAGTGTTAGTTACTCTTTCAACAAAGTAACGCGCTTGGCGCGTCGCAACACGTACGTAGTTTGGTTCCCGACCTCCGAAATTTCTGACGCAAGTCTAGTTCTGCGTCTTAATGATCTTTTTGTGTCCATTTCCTCGTGGGCAGAAGAGGGCTCCTTCTTCACAGGTGAAGCACCGGATCTTCTATTATAGTATGGTATGAGGCGCGTCTCGTTAGCTAGTTGCGATTCATTTTCAACCAGGTAGTCTTCGAGCGCAAGCTCAAGTTCTGTCTTCTTGATACCATCGATACTGAGAGAATGGTCAGTGACTTCTGTTGCAAAGCTGGTGAGATATGTGAATGTCGCATACTATTTAAGTCCAATTGAATCCGCAAGCTCCATCAAATCCCCCTTTCGTTGCGCCTTGATCCAATTTGCTACCCCGGACATGATGCTATATGATGGCTGCTTCGCGAAAGAATGCGATCGTGGTGATTATATTCGATAAGTGTTTGTAGAAAGGTGCGGGGATATCTGATGTCTGCTTTTCGGGTTATCGTGCGAAGTTTGGGCAAATATTGTGGGGTGCCGAATGAGGAAGGAATCGCGTAGTATGTCAACAAACAAGCGCTAGAGATTTCACGTGATTGACTTAAATCACTAGCTCGGAGCCGCCGAGTACTGGACTGGTGAAGGTGTTCTGGGTTGAATCTTGGTATACTACACAGTAACTCTTTTCAAAATGGGCTGACGACCTTTGAGTGTTGAGCAACCCTTCTTTATGAAGCTCTGATCCTGTCGTTGTCATGGGCGATTCAAGGAACTCCTTGTAAGAATACTCGAGTCCTGGGAAGGAATGTGCGCAACACTCGCTGCGAACGGATAGACGCGAACATCGGTTTTAATTAATTCTTATCTTTGCAATGAATTATTTCGATCCCGTGACTTGCTAAATAAAAAGGACGGATGAAAGCGACCTTTTGACACAATCTCTATACATGTGTTGAGAATGAAAGTTCTGAAATAGTTTTTATTGTTATCCTTTCCCATTGCATCAGGCAATGACCATCGAGCAGTCTGGTATCATGAGGCTAAAGCACTAATCTATAATATTTACAAAACGTTCCTCCCCCTTTTTGACCAGTCGTACTGGAATAAAACCAGGGTGAAGCTTCAGAGTGATGAGTGACGTAGCACCTCTAATCGTCTCTCTTGCCTTCCTTTGCGCCTTACTATACAATTCCTTCTTCTCGTCTGCGGACATCCTCAAAACTTCTTCATCTGTAGCCCACTCATCGACTGCAAGCTCCATCGAGTACTTTTGCAAAACTACAGCAAGCACGCCCATGACCTCAACCTGGGCCAATCTTCGACCTAAGCAAGATCGAGCGCCATCGGAGAAAGGAATGTAAGAACCTCTGACTGGGCGAAATAACCCTTCGGATGTGGTTTTCCCTGTGAATCCACCAAAATCATCATCCTCAGAGGAATCATTGGCGCTGTCATCTTTTCCTAATTGCTTAATGAGCCACCTTTCTGGTTTGAAGTCATCGAGATCGTTATTTTGCGTAGTTATTTTCGAGGGCTCGGTTGGCCAGTACCTAGGGCTCCTATGGAGTCCTATCGTATTAAGGTTTATATGGGCTCCAGCGGGGAGCGTGATTTTCTTTCCATCAATAAAAATTGTTTGATCGTGGCCTTGACCAACTGATTTAGGAATATTAACCACAGGAGGCATGAGGCGAAGTTGTTCATTGAGCGTGGCTCCGACCATACCACCCATGAGGACGTTTATATTTTTCTCATAATCCCAGGTCTCAGGAGATTCGTCGCCAAAGATCCTTTGCACTTCTTCTTGGACTTGTCGCTGCGATCTAGGGCTAATGGCCAGTTCTACGAGGCAGAAGTGGACCGAATTCGCAGTTGTCTCATGGCCCGCGACCATCATGACGAAGGCATTTCCAAGAATTTCCGAGTCCGAAAGGGCGACTTTGTTAGCTTGGCCTTTCTCGACTCGGTCCGGCGATGATTCAGTAGACCCCGGCGCACCTGAAGGACCGTATGAGCTCTTTACCAAGAAGCCCATAATATCCATACCCTCACCTTCCTTATTCTCCATAGCATCCCGAGCCTTTTGGGCAAACAACTCGTTCATGTACTGACCGAAATTTTCGAAAGATTCTAGTGCTTTGTGGGCGGAATCAAAAGGCATTAATCCTGGGGAAAAAAAATTAGTCCCTCGTAAAAACCCTCCAGATTGTTCTTGGTACTTACTCAGAAGCCATTTAGGAAGAAATAACACCCAGACTAAAGTCTCCAGAAGAGTGCTCAAAGATCTCTCGAAGCTCATCGTGTGGCCTTCGGGCGCTTCGTTACTGCTGTAAACAGATTCTTGTTCCTTGCTCCTCGCTTTCTCCCCTGGCCATAATAAACGAACCCCAAAACCAATTCTGCTTATAATGTGCAATGTAACTCTCATTGTATCAGTAGGAACTTCTTTCAGAGTCACATTTCCTCTCCCGTCAGGGCCCAACCACCTTCTTAACATCCCCTGTGCTTGTATACAAGATTCTGCAAACACTAGCGCGTTGTTCTTTTCAGTAAAACTTGGTGAAGATATCTTCCTATGCCCCCTCCATTCAATTCCTTCGGTTGTTACAACATTCCTACCAAAGATCTCAAGAATACGGTACGATTCAAGAGGTTTGGGAAAAGCCTCTCGGCGACTTGTGATCTGATGAGTCGCTTCTGCATTTGAGACAAATCCAAGGATCGATCCAGGGGAAACGGTTAAAAATACATCGCCGTTTTTGGCAAATGGATGGTAAAGTTTCTCCCAGCACCAATCTGGTGTCATATAACTAGATTTTGTTAGAATTGCCCTCAATACTGTTGGTTATTATCACTTACTCAATCCAACTTTCTGTCCATGTTGTCGGTAGCTTTTTGATGAAAGGTAGCCATACACGATGAGTTATCAACCAAAATGGATTATAAAGGCTAATCGCTGGAATCAATCAGCATATGAGGTTTCAAAAAGATAATGTAACTCACGCGTTATTACATATGGCAAACCTGAACGTTTGGCAGCCGCAATATTCTTTTGCAGTCCTACTATGTTCGAATACACCCAATAAATTGGAAGTGTAGCCAAAACAAGAGTGAACAGTGAAATCATTTCAATGATGTGTAGCACGGTCCAATTTTATTAATGTAGAACAAGTACCGATGCAAAAAGCAAACAGTTCTACAGTGTCTGGTAAGATTACCCAAATTCGGAAATATCAGCGAATAAGTGTCGATGACATTAAAAATTGAAAGAGAATATCAATCTATTATGATGTAGAGGGAAGGCAACTTCTCCAATATTAAAAGGGGGCAGGCAGCTGGCCATCATTATTAGATGCCACTTAAATACTACCCGTCTAGTGGATAAGAGCCTAACCTCTCGGACGCTGGCTTTGCCGTTCAAATATATGGAAAGAGAAGCCGCATTCACTGATGTTCTAACCAATTAGCGTTTCTGGAACGTAGGTCTGATATTGACTCTGAATCTTGTTCCGACGCCCAAACAATGCAAAACGTCTCGAGTTTGGTTTTATGTGCATGGCAATTGCCATCTACGGAGTACGGTCGAGTCTCAAATGCGCCAGAACTACTGTGGGAGTTCATATATTGATCGTAGCCTCTCACAACCATTAAATAAAATGATTTCGAGAAATTTCTTCAATATCTAAAGTAGTTTCTTGTTTAATGTTTCCAAGATATCTTAGGATTTCTTTTAGATACATTTAATGTTGATTATTAAAAACAGTGAGTTTTGACTGACATTGGTGAGGAAATTCGGTAAATGTCAAACAGAGCTGACCCTCATCGACTACAAGCCTGAATACATACTGTAATTGCTAGGAAATTGCAACGTTACGAGATGACAATTGGCAAGACGAGCCGGACGTTCGTTCTTTGTTAGAGAGTATTTGGGATGGGAGAAAGTGATAGACATCCCTTTGCCACAAATATTGAAAAAATATCAATGACGTCCATGGTATTACACATTCCGTAATTTATTTCGAGTTCGTTTTCGTATTGCAGACGCACCGCCAATGACAAGAATGCCCGGATTTCGCGTACTCTAGGAAACACGTCACATCTTATTGGATGTTGTTCACGTTTCTTGTAGATCTCTGGCTCGCCGATGAAGCGTGCTTCGGATATGGAGTAGCCGGCTCTCAACCAAAGCTTTGTTGTTTTGAAAAACGTGCTCATGAACTTAATTGTTGAGACGGGTCAATGACACTTGCTTGAATTATCTTGTAAACCATATTATGTTGGCAAAGCAGAGAGTTGGCTAACGAAACAGATATTTCAAGCAAAGTATATCAAAAAATAGAATGGATATCCGAACGACAACTTGTATGGAGATCGACTTGCTTAAGCATTTGCGTGTTATTGATTTAGAGTCCTGCAGATAGATATATTGTTTGAGCGGACTAAGTCTTCACCAAAGAAATCTCAAAGCTTTCAAGTTCCGATAATACACCAATTTCAACGCCCGAAATAGACATGTCACAATGCCAACATGTCACGAGAAGGCTGGCGATTGCATCCGGGCGGTTGAAGCCGATCATTTGAAACTTGATGCCTGCGTTCTCGATGACTTTGGGCTTTCACGGATGACCGCAAATTATCATTCTCTATTTGAGAGTCTTCGATCTTTTGGGGGCATTTTATTTCAATTGTGACTGTCGAGTCCTTTTCAATGCACAAATAAAAGTCGATGATTAAACAATCTTTTAAGCTTTGTGCTTGTGTGTTGGTTTTCGTTTGGTTCTTTTGGTTCGCGACAGCCTGAGTCAAAATTTACACACAAGATATTTTGATAAGATAGCCCTCCAACAATGTTGCTCTTGATCTGCTCATTTCGGCCATGGCACGTGCTTAGAATTTACACGTGATCTGATTTATTCCCAAAGCGGCATGGCCTGGTTCGAAGCGAGCCCACCAAACTTCAGTTTCCCAAAATTCCCAGAAATCTGATCAACGACGATACTAACAACAATCTATCCCAGCGACCACCAGATAAATCGCCAAGATGGTACGTTATATTTCAGTTTACTGTTGAATTGTTGGGTTCATTTGAACTTCGGAGGAGAGGCAGCTTGGGACTGTTGGAAAGCGAAAAACAAGAATTTCGAGAGAAGATTTGCGACATTTCGATGGAGAGCGATGAACGATGAATGGCGGGCTAGAATACGGCATCGGGCGCAAATCAAGCTATCATCAAGTTACCGAGTGGACCATCTGCCACTGCTTGTTTCCGCAACACGACCACTTCACACGCGATTCTCAACATACGCTGAATGATAGCCAATCTTGTCGAGGAGGTGGCGGAGCCATTTGAGGGTGCACTGTAGCAGAATGATTTTCTCAAGCTGGATTAAGGCTGACATATTTTGCTTATCTGTAGGTCAACGTCCCAAAGACCAGACGCACTTACTGCAAAGGCAAGGATTGCCGCAAGCACACCCAACACAAGGTCACCCAATACAAGGCCGGAAAGGTACAATCATCGCCCGACGTGTCGAAATCGATTAATTAACAGGTTGGATTAGGCTTCGTTGTTCGCTCAGGGAAAGCGTCGTTATGACCGAAAGCAATCTGGTTATGGTGGTCAGACAAAACCCGTTTTCCACAAGAAGGCAAAGACCACAAAGAAGGTTGTGTTGAGATTGGAGTGCACATCTTGCAAGACAAAGGCACAGTTGGCATTGAAGCGTTGCAAGCACTTCGAGCTTGGGTACGAAATCCCCATTTTATTTGCGTTCAGCAAATTGCGCAGTAAATTGAAATATAGGGCTAACAATTTGATAGTGGTGACAAGAAGACCAAGGGTGCTGCATTGGTATTCTAGATTTGTGCATGCTACGACAATTCTGTTTTCATCGGGGACAAATGGATGGGTCAAAGGATTTTGCGAGGAACATACACAAAACACTCAATGGTTGAGTGATGGGGCGCGGGAGAAAATGATGTGGTTGTACTCCTCGTACCTCATCCAAAGTTACCAAATGAAACATAGCAAAGTCTGCTGATGACATACCATTCTGGAAGTTTCTTGCGTGATATAGTGCTTGAAAATATTTGCAGCCATTTGCGTATGCGTGACTGGGCTTTTTACATGGTGTTGAAGTGGACAATATGAATGCTTGTTATAACCAATTTTGTTTGCCATGTCTTATGCTAATGATTGGTGATTTCATTTGACGCACATAATGCATGCACAGGTTTTCTGACAGTACTGCAATTCAGTCTTGAGTACGGCCTAGACGCCTCGTTGCGATGCCACCTAGCTCCTAAGACCGGAAACATCGCAGCGTTTTTTCTTTTAGCTTGAATTGCCATACAAACATCAGGCCTTTGCTTTAAAAGCAGCCCTCAGAATTTCTACTGTGTGAGGGCTCATGGAAATGTTGCGAATTTGTATCTGGTCACTGTTCATGCGTAGTTCACAGGAGACTAGGTTGCCTGATGTCACTACTTCAAGCTAGAATCTTTATGATATCATTCTATACCGGGGTCTTACCCGCAAAATGGGGTTTCCAAGAGATCCTCATGATTGATTACATTGAGATCATGCTAAAGTCAGTAATGTTTTTAATACATATTCTAAAGCTTCGCAATGTGTCTGGAAATAGCAGACATTGTGTTATCACATTGTGTCAGCTTTTCCGCTGATTGGGAGCACGCCTTGGACTACACCTAGAATCCTTTTCCTAACATCACTGTCTCTCCACCTCCATACCACAACTGGCCTCTCCTGCAATCCAAACCTTTTTCCTGACCTACGACCCACTCTCCATGCTCATCTCTGTCTGCCCCCTCACGTGGCCAATACTCCTTTTTGAGCCATACATTGATCTCCTCAATCAAGTCAATCCAAGCCTGTCGCTTTTCGGGCGTATCGTGATCTTCCTGCGTGAGAAATCGTCCAACTGTGATATGTGAACTGGGGACTACGTAACGGGAGTCAACAGAGATACCCGTAGATCGGGCAATGGTGAATAGAGATTGGCGAAGATGGTGGTAGGTGAACGCATCGTCTTGGGCAGTTCTGGGATTGCGAGATGATGGCTCAGCATTTGACGTAAGCGATTCTCCGGCAGCAGGAAGAAAAGAGAGGGCAACTGCGGCGGCGTCATAGGATAGCATGGGCTTGATAAGACGTGCACGGTGTTGGAGGGGATAGTCGGTCATGGTTGATATGGTGGATGTACCAAGTTGGTTAACAATGGAGGTTATTTCTGGGGAGGTCAAGGAATGGGTTATCTCAAGTGCCGTGAGATGGCACTTGAGCTGAGGCATAAGCCAGAGCTCTGATATATACGTTAGTGCTAGGGACAATGTGGGTATCGTGAGACTAGAGGACAAGAGAAGGGCGGATCGTCACATACTCGGAGCCAAAGCAAGTAGCTTTTGTTGAATTGTCCCAACCACTACAAAATGGCAAAGTCAGTGTTGCATGTCAAAGGACGACTCTGGAAAATGAGGAGTCAAAGCAGTATTGAGGAGTACACATACAGCTACATCAAAGTGCAGTTTTTGATTGAAGAATAGAATTAGGGAGCAAGGAATCAGGATTTAGTGAACAGATTAAGCTTACATGCTTTAATGTGTTGGGGAGGACGCGCCCAGAATACTAAGCAATGTCTAGGATCCTCAAAACCAGGCTCAATATTGGGATCCTCTAGCTTTTGCAGAACGGTATCCAGTATCATCTCTTGAAAATCAGGAGCCAGTATCTTTGCCTTCTGTTGAGCATTGCGAGTTTCTCGATGAGTTGCATACTTAGCTTGTATTTCTGCCTGAAAGGGGTATCAGTCTAAAATGTGCAAACCGAATATCGGGAGTCTTTCATGTATGTGTTCAAGATGCGTGTGTTATACCCAAATACAATTGTAGTGTTTTTAATCTGATGGGATAAATGGTGTTGAGAGTAGAAAAGTAAATACCGGGTCATCGTGGCATGCTTCTATCAAAGCATCATATGGGTTGGCATATTTCGCAGTGTCAATACCTGACAAGTCCTCGAATTTGTTCATAGAGTCCGCCGAGCCAGCGAGGGTTATAGGAGCCATTTCTATCTTGGGTAAGGTAGAGGTCTTTTGTGCAGGAAAGGAAGGATAGTTAATAAAGTGTAACTGTGATTAATTCTCAAGTAACAATCGTCTCTTGGAGCTCTTCAGGATTAAAACTTCTCTTGAAAAATTCATGGGCATTTATAAGTGGGATACATACGATATATAATCATGTGTTTGATCTGTCATATACTACTGTCTATGGAGTGAAGTAACTGGGGTAGGAATTAGCTTCGGAAAGATCCGAAGTGACCTCTAGAAGCTCGGGCCCCTATCTTTGCCATTTGGATTTTGTCAAACCTTCCAACATTTTTACAACCTTTTCAATCAAACCACTCAAAGCCACTTGGATTGTTCCTGTTATATATTGTTTGGCATAAGAAACATTTCAAACTCTTTCAACATCAGCAACTTGTCTGAAGAGGATCTTTGTCTTTGACATTCGAGATAACACTTGTGAATTTAAAAGACAGAGGAGTGGTAGTTCATCAGTCTTTTAAACAGTTTCCCTTATTGCTGGGAAGCATTAAGGACTGTCCATTTTGAATGCATCTTCTCGTTGCTCTCTTTTCTTAAATATCGAGACATTCTTGCAAAATGGGAATGTAGAATTTCTTGCTCATTCACTTACCATCGGCTTTTTTGGATTTTTCTACCCGACCAGGCCCAGACCTCCTTGAAGTTGCAAAAAAAATGGAGAGCTCACTCTTTTAGTTATGACCTTTCAGCAGACCTTTGTTTGAAGCCAATTGCTTCTTTTAACCTTGTTGATTTTAAAGGATATTATCTCCTTAGGCACTTATGCCATTGCCATACCCAGGTGGTACTTGACGCAATATATCTCTGAAAATGAAATAGATCACCTTGAGGTGTTAAGTCCTAAATGACAGTATCATTCTGTAGGATGGTCAATTACTTCTGGTTAATGATTACTATTTCCCTTACTCCTGTTGTCGTCACATATATTGTCAGAGGCATACTTTCATGTATGGGCACATTTTCTCTGAAGTCCCTTACTTCACCTCGCAATAACGAACATCAAGGATGCTCACTCCTTTAAGCTTATTCGGATCATTCTTTCTCCTGCTGCAGCTTTGCAATACATCCTAACTTTCTCCCTAGAGGAAACAGTCAACTATATCGCGGTATCTACCATTCCTCATAATACATCGCATTCTTTTCACAAGATATGAGTCAAGAGACTTCCATAGGTCTATGAACATTCCCGTCAACCCCGAGCTCTCTTTTCAGGGGCCCCTTATCCGTGGCTTCATCAATCGCAACTGTATCACGCCAAAATTTAATTCTACTAAATATATGGCTGCATCTTGGCCGCTAATTGAGGGTGCAAAAACTTCTTGTTACTCGCAAATTACACATCTTTCTCATTAGCTGGACATTGTATACCCATTGATTTGCAGAAGGCACGATACTCGGATGCTAAAGCTTTGGACTTCATGCGAGGACTAGAACTATGGCAGCTACCACCCTCGAACTTAGGACACTCTATCAAGAAACCTCGCCAGTTTATATGAGGACCTCGATATGACGAAAACTACAGTGGAAATGATGGATTGGGAACCTCAAACCCGCTTTCCCCCAAACTACCTTATAGTTACGGCCACCAGGCGGTGGAAAATCACAGCTTGACAGAAACACAAGACAAGCAGACGCCTGAATTTCAAATCTAGTGTCTTTTTTCTTGGCCAATGAAGATTCGTACATCTGTCAGAATATTGGGAAAACATGGAGCAATTGACATCATCCTGTCAAACCCTTAACTTTACAGATCACAGAAGGAATGATGATTCAAGCACCTCGTTAGACATTTCTTTGCATATCACCGCTAGTATTGCTAGCCAAGTGAAAATCCTCTCTGATGGCCTCACAGGATTGCGGCACCGTGTTGTATATCATAGTCATACAACTTTCGAGCTGCCACTCGATGGATTTCATTCTTGCGAATTTCCATGAATAGGAATTGATTGCATGAACGAACTCATGATTTCGAAACTTGCTATGCCTTGGCGAACTCTATACTTTGGAACACAATAGAAGCGGCAAGATAATGAATACGAGATGATAAAGACCTGCATTCCGCAATATCTAAGCACAAAGATTAGACTCAAGAAAGAGGAGCTTAGTAGCTTTTTGTCATCTAGTCATTTCCATCATGAAAATATTGGCGTTTCCAGCTGGTATAGACAAGTCGGATCCACCAAATGGCAAATTTGAAAGGAATCAGAAGGATGGACAAACCCCAGTACCATATTGTCCATTCACTTTCAACCCAACTGGAGATAAATAAGATAAACAAGATAAACAAGATAAACAAGATAAACAAGATAAACAAGATAAACAAGATAAACTTAGGTCAACTAATACAAAAAGATTGCTAGAAAGGAAAGAGTTTATTGGCTCATCTACTCAAGGTAGTCGGGTCTTCCTTGTTTATTCACACGTTATGTGGTGGGTGTTAGGCAAAGAAAATATGTGAAAGGTATCATGCCACTTGTTTCCCATGTAGGCTCCTTTGAGGAGATCACCTTAGCTATTTGGTGTCTGACATCCACGCCATTTGGTAGTTTTAAGGGGAACCTACAAAGGAGTCGGCCATTATAGATAATGCAGTTTATTTGCCAAAGAGTGGATGGGTAACCACATCACTTGCAGTAAAGTGATGGGGCTTATCCACAAGTATATTTACCAGGCGCACTAAAAGTGAGGAGATCGAAAGACCCTCACAAGAACTGATCCACCTGTATAGCTATGAGATAGGGATGCTTCGAATATAACTGTTGTAAGATCATGGTCTGAAGGCATAGCTACCTCCAAGGCTGATGGTGTGATGCCAAAGATCGGCGGAACCCACCTGCAGATCCCAGTCAGAGCCTAGATCGTTGATCTCGACTGAGATCTACTGGATCCGATTAGGCTGAGGTATTACCCATGGCTTCGATTATAGTGCTGCAGTGAAGGCAGAAGACAGGCAGCTCGACGAAAGCTTGGAGATGAGATTGGTCGCTCGCAGATGCAGAAATTCTCGGTCTAGCTCTTCCTTTGCCGTCCGTGTTATTGTTTTTCATATTGGTTGTTGGCTTAGCTTCAACTTGCTTCAATTCTTTGAAAAATCAGCCCAGGGAATTACTGAGGGTATACACTCACATGCGGTGACTATTCACCAAGCAATACTTTGCTACTTCGAAGTCTCGATTCACCTCAAATTATTGTCTGCATACCAGTGGCTGTCTTCGGATGAAGCTAAGCAATAGGAACATGAGCACTATAAAATGAAGGGCAATAATACCAACCAATTGATAGGTGAAGAAGACACTTTAGCTAAAGGCGGTCAATGCAAATCGCTGCTGAGCGGGTGCGATCGGGCACATGGCTCGCTTCAGTTGCTACAAATTCTCCCACTCAAGATTTCAAACACACAAGCACAAACAAATTCCCACCTTCGACATTTTCACCCAAAAAATCTCTAAGTATTCAAAAATCGCTGCATAATCATCATTGATTTTTTCGATCCTCAGTGAAACTACGAGAGACGTTGAAGGTAATTATCCTTTGCTTATGAGTTTCTGCGACTCTTTCACATAACGCACCGTACTTCAGTCCTCCATCTTGCAAATACTTTAAGCAGTCGCTGACTGAGTCTCATCAACAGTATCACGAAATTATCAGGATTTATCAGATTTTACGAAATACCATTACAGCAGGTTTAGTTCCTTCCTTTCCTTTAACAACTGGAGAACAACACAACGTAAGTCATTTCTGTCTATACATTTTTCTCATCGCGTCTAATTCCGCACCCACTCTCCTGCTTTGGCATCAATCAAAAGCTTCTCACTACATTTGTTTTTTAAATCATGTCTTACCCCCAAAGTCACAAGGAACATCGCTTTATCATATTGTTTGCATTTTCTTTGCTTGTTCGCACTTCCAAAATGTTGCATCAATTTTGAGCTCTGCCTCTTCCTTTTCTTAACCATCCTCATGCAGCACCATCACTACCTCCAGTTGACAGCTTCTAGCTGCTTGTTGTAAAAATACACCCTGTATACTACCTCCTCAACCTTGAAGAGCATTCTTTTGAAAAGTTCACCATTCACCATTTCTCATTTAATCCATCTCTTATCGGTCGTGGTATCTTATCTCTACTTCTTAGGGAAAGCAAACGTTTGCTAACCAGCTTTTCATCAGTCAATTTGCTCAACATGGCGAAGAAGCGCAAAAACATGGTGAAGAAACGCCAGAAGACTTCGCGTTTTGCACCATCTGCTGAAGATGAATCCAATTTTGACGAGGAAGAGGGCAGTGGTGAAGAGGGCGGTGGTGGTATCGAATTAGACGATCAAGCTCCAAATCTTTCTGATGAAGATGAGGGTAAAAAGTCAAAAGGCCCAAAGACGAGAACCAATGAGAATAAAAAGTGGGGTACTCTCAGCTACGCAGAGGGAATCAATTCAAGTCTTCCTCCACTTACCACTGCCACGGAATTTTTGGAGGGCTTAATTGACGAATTGTTGATCGGAGGGTTCGAAGACGTTATTAAGCACCTCAATGGCCGGCATTTGCGCGTCGCCACCGCATGTTCCGGCACTGAAGCACCCATCCTGTTTCTGAAGTCATTTTCCGAAGGTATTATCTCGAAACATCTTTTCGAAATAAATTCTAACCCTGAAATCTAGGTTTAAGGAAAAGAGGTTACCAATTCGAAATCGAGCATGTCTTCTCATGTGAAATTGATCCGGCTAAACAGTCTTACATTCGTCGAAACTTCCCTGGCGTTCCTATTTTCCGTGATCTCACAGAAGTCTTTGAGTGGGAGGGTAACCCTGAAAAGATAGGGTTTATGTATGTTGAACCATTCGAAATTCTTATTTTCGGCTAACATGTTATAGGACTACTGCTTTTGGTACAACGCATGCGCTTCCAGCGCCGGGTACAGTTGACGTCATCATCGTTGGTACTTCTTGCACCAGTTATTCCAATTTGAACGGCCAAAAGAGTATGGATTTGGAGAGAGACCAAAATGAATCCTCGCGGACTTTCCGCGCATATGTTTTGCTTACTGAGTATCTAAAGGCAAAGATCGCTATCAGCGAAAATGTCCAAGGTGGTCCTTTCCCGGCTATGATTGAAATGCTGGGCAATCATGGTTACATTGGAGGCTCAGCAAACGTCGATAGCAAACATTATGGCATTCCCCAAACCCGCCAACGCGGCTATCTCGTTGCCCTCCTTGAATCCTCTCTGGGAGGACCTGATGATGTAGTAAAGCACCAAAATGCAGACACATGGAAAAAATTCTTTGCTGCCATGAAAGAAATGTGCTCGCGCGATGCTAGCAGTGATGTTGAGCAGTGGATGGAGCCATCTGATTCGAAGCCGCTCCGTGCTCAGGTCGAATGTCAAGTTGAATCACGTTCGGTCGCAAAGTGGGATACGTGCCATACGAGGCATTATGATTATCGTGTCGCGCAGGGCTTCGGTCCTGAGAAGCCTATTACCAATTGGCGCAGTACGGGCAAATTTGTTCATCTCGATCATTGGCCCCGTAATCTCAAAGGCTTTGTAGAGCGTGTTCACGACGTTACTGATATCAGCCATTTGCGTGGCATATGTCGAGGTTATGATGACCGTTACCTCAGGTAAGCCTAATTCTATCATATTTCTGTTGCAACGTACTGATACTGTGTCCAGTCGAAACATCGATTTGTCACAGAACGTTTATATTCAGCATGATAACGTGAAGTGCGGTCTCATGCCTTGCTTGACACCAAGCGGTATCATGTGGAATACTGCACGCGGTAGCAAGCTTAGTGGTGAAGAATATCTTCGCCTCCAAGGAATTGATACTGATAGTCTTGAACTTGGTGGTATTTCTCAACAAGACTTGAGAAACCTTGCTGGCAATGCGATGACAATCACAGTAGTTGGAAGTGTAATGTCGTTTGCGCTTCTTAAGTACTTCTCAATGCTCACTCCCGGTGACGGCGTCAAAAGTTCAGTCCAGGACAGAGTGACAAAGACTTTCCGTGGTGGAGAAGACATGCTTAACTCATGTGAAGATATTACGGTTGTTCGACAGCCTTTCACTGTTAGAGAATGTATTCATCTCGTTGAGTCTTCTGCGAAATACTGCTATTGCGAAGCACAAACTGATATATCACGATCGACAATTGTCAAATGCAAGAACTGTGGGCATGTTTCATGTACAACCTGTGGGGTTAAGCCGCGTCATGCCTACAAACCTTTGGGCCAGTTTATTGGCCCTCGAGGTACCAAGGGTATAACCCCTCGTAATTCGCCTGCGTCCGTTGAGTTCAATATTGCTGAACGTCTGCCAATGATAATTTCAATATCGGGATTGTTCGCCTCGGACTGCCAAGTTTTATCGATCATCGAAGAGGTTGCTAGAGGTGACATTGATCATGATCAATGGGCTGCCTTGCGCATGCCTTTTCTAAAATGCCTCCAATCGACAGTCAGGTTTCAGAGGCCAGCTCGATCTTTTGCTTGGAATTTTACATGGCTTTCGGAGCACGCCAGATTAGAGTTATCTATTAGCAACAATAAGATTCAATGGGTTCTATACGCTTTTCCACCTCCTTCGACTGCTGTTAATAGTTCGTTGAGGAAATATCTTACAAAATTTCCTCTCGCAAGAACAGTACCTATTTACACATCTGCTGACAGCTCAAGAAGCATTTTCGATTGCACATGGCAGATATGGCAGCCAAAGATTCGCACCGCCCAGGCGGCTATCAACTACAGCGGTGAACTCATTTTTACTTATGAGAACTCAATTGGTCTTCCTGCCTGGAAAGGAGATCTTATATTCTCAAAGATAGCCATTCAGATCCCAGATGATCAACCCACGTTCAAGGAAATCAACGGTGTTTATCGAGCGCATCCGGAATGTCAACAGGCTTTTAATAGCTATCATTCCAAGCAGGGCACTGTCGGAGGAGACAATAACATGCATTTTTTCTACGATCACGAAGGAGGCACAGGGGACTGGAACAAGCATGGATTCGTCTTCACTTACGATCGGACACGCAAAGAATGCGGGGTATACAGGCAAATCGTCGCTGCGCTTTGCACCTCGTGGGAACAACCCATAGCAAAAGAGATCGAGGAGGGTGTTTATAAATGTGGAGATACCATCTACGAAGGTCTTCCCTCGTTAAAAAAAGGAATGAGCGAAACTGTCGAGATTACCTCCTTTGGAAGCTGGACCACAACACCCAGAATCATCAGCCCTATGGCTACCAAGTTGCCCGACAGGTCTTCTATGGTTTTATACGAGAAGCTCAACTCCTCTAACCCAAAGCTTCTTCTCGAGACTGATTGCAAAAACATGCTTAGTGCATTTTCTTGCAAAGCATATACGAATGTGATACCTTCTTATTGGGAACCAGATCATTGGATCAATGTTACCAAGCAAAACGGTACCCATTTTTTCAAGGGTTGTTATCATCTGTTAGCTCGTGGCTTAGTTACTCAAGGAATTAATGAGGCTGATCCGCCTTGGATTCCGTGCAACAAACAGGGCGAGTCTTCATGTCGGTGTGACGATTGTGCACCACCCAAACCGGATATGCTATGGTGTCTGAAGAGAAATGGCCAAAGGATTCAACAAACGCCATTCGAAAATCCACCAGCAGCTGCAATCTTTGAGACTTTGATTAAGAATGCGCCACCATCAATGCAGCAATGGGTCAGATTCCTCAATAAAGATGGCTTCTTTCAATTTGAGTATCAATTCCTGATCAACCCCGCGGCTTTGTGTCATCAAGCGGCTGGGCTTCTCAATTTGTTTCCACGTCCAGAGATTCCTGTACATCTCTCGTGGCGTTTCCTTCCTGGAGCTTGGGGGAGCCGTAAATTGCCAACGCGGATGTTTTCATATTTCAATACAGAGACCTTGAAGATGTCAATACAGCCACCTACGTTTGTTCCAGGAAAGAAGCTCCGCAATGAGCAACTCAAAACTCTGGCATGGATGGTAAACCAAGAGAGGCACCCACCTTCTTTCATGGAGAGAGAGGTTGTTGAAGCTTGTCAAAATGACTTGGCATTCAGACTTGAAGGCCGAGCTTCTCGAATGGTAGAGCACCGTGCCGGACTAATTGCTGCTGCTGTTGGATATGGCAAGACGATTCTTACTTTTGCTTTAATGAGCAGGCAGCGTAACGTCGATCGCCTATGGGCCAACGCCCCTAATACCAATGGCCAAATTCAAGTCAAAGCAACACTGGTTCTGGTGCCAACGCATCTAACTTTACAGTGGAGAGATGAGTCATGCTTGTTCTTCGGTTATGATGCCAAAGATGATGCAAGAATTATAACGCTCAGAGCATATACAGACGTCAGGGCTCTGACTGTTGAAGATGTTCGGAGAGCAGAGCTAGTCATTTGCAGCTCTGGCCTTTTCGATAATGAAGGGTACTTGAAACTCATGGCCAAGAACGCTGGGGTTGTTAATTTGGCCAAAGGCGCGACTGACAGAGCTAAGGAAGCTTGGTATCTTAATGCTCGGACAGAGAGACAGGAGCTCTTGGCGTATCTCTTGGAAAGACTCCCAATGGAAGTAAATGAAAACGACAATGCAGCTTCCGCCCGAAACGCTCAAATTATCAATAACTTCAACAAGAAGACTTTTCAGAAATACAAGAAGAATGTTGCGGATGCAGGGGTTAACGAGCCACATATTCCTTCAATGCGGCGTAAGGGCGCAGAACTTGTTAAATATCTTATGGAGGAAGCCAAGAGAGATTTCAAAGGCAAGGGCAAACCTAGAACCAATGTCTTGATTGATGAGGCAGACGCTGAGAAGACGTTCGAGTTCCACTACTTTGAAGAAGACTGTGTTGATGGTCTTACTGGGGTATGTTTGTCAGATTTTGCCTGGTCTCGGTGTGTCATAGATGAGGTAGGCTACATAACCCGCAGGAATATGCAGGTGGCTATATATTCACTGAAAGCTCACTCCCGGTGGGCCTTGTCAGCAACACCCGACATTACTGATTTTAAATCAACTTCAAGAATTGCCCGGTGCCTTGGCATTAATCTTGGTGTCGACGACCAGGAAACAATCCGCAATGATAAGAATCTGACTAGTACGGAAAGATTTTTGTCCTATGGACCTGACGCATCGGCAACCTGGCATTCTCAAAGGCTTCAAGTTGCTCAGGAATTTTGCGATACTTTCATCCGCTACGACGCAAAAAAGGGAAATGGGCAATACAATCGTCTCCACCGTTTCATTGTTTTGCCATTTGCCACAGCACAATTGGCATCTTACCTCACTGTCAGAGCCGATGTTATTAACCAGAGTTACATGATGCCAAGAGCTAAAGCTAACACCATCCGAAGTTCAGTCAAAATGGAAATCTCAAAAGTTTATGGCAAGGATACAGACGGTAGATTGAGATTGACGAAAGCCGCATCATTCTTCCCGGAGCACGCTGCAAAGAATCCCAAATATAAACTTAAGACTATCAAAGACTTGAAAGCAACTGCGCTCAAAGAAATCAATGCTGCGAAAGACTATTTGCGCCGACAGATGGAGTTCCTCGACTATCTGGTGACAGAGAAAACGGTCATTAATGATGCTGAATTGGTTCTTAGATATAAGAACTGGGAAAATCAAGTTCTGGGCGGATACCGTTACCCCGACCCTGACGCTCTTCTTGACATCCTCCAAGTCATCAAAGGCGTTCGAAGGGCAAAGGCTAGTAAGACCAAAGCTGACTTTTACTATGAAGATCCTGATCCTGCTTATGGTCGCCGTATCTGGCCTTCTCAAACCGAGAAAATTTTGCACAACGGTCGAAAGACGCTTGCCCTTATTGCCCATTTTAAAACAGGACTCATCGAAGTGCACAAGACTGCTATGTACCTTATTCAATTCAGAGCGGATTATCGCTATTATAGGTCTGTGGGGCAGATTGATCGAGCTGGCAGTATAACTCCTACAGGGGATCTCACTTGTAACTTTTGCAACAAGAGCTCGCCTTTGGACGAAGCTGTTATTCAAGGTAACTGTGGCCATATCTTATGCTCGAAATGCAACAAAATCTTATCGGAAGGCAATTGCCCAGTCGAACACTGTGGTGGGCAATCACTAGATGATCAAAAGTACTTGGCGTCATCCTTGTATTCTTCAGCTGGAAAATTTCCCGGGCGCAAAGAACCAGGAACTGAACCAGACGAGCTTTCTCGATTCTGGAACAACCCAAGTGTTCGAGTCGACAAGCTGACAGCTATGCGTTCGATCTTCTGGAAGCACGATGACGGCGAGAATAAATTCATTGTATTCAGTCCTCTACCAGAGATTTTAGTCATAGCTCAGAAAATGATGGAAGCTGATGGTATTCCTTGTATCAACCTGAAGGGAAAGAAGAAGGACGTCGCTGATTATCTTGAAAACTTCAAGAAAAACAGAGGCATGCGATACAGGGATGAAAAAAAACAGGCCAAGCCCAAAACACCTGCACAAATCAAAGCAGCAGAAACTAGAGCTGCAAAAGTAAAAGCTGTGAAGGCTGCAAAGCTTGCAGAAGCGGCTAGTGCGCCAATTGATATTGTCGCTATTCCCGTTGATGCGAATGCTATTCCTGGTAATGCGGCAACAGCTTCTATTGAGCTAAGCATTCGGGTCAATCCCATTTCTCAAATTCCCCAAAAGAGAAAGAGAAAAGCCGGAGCCACAAATGGTAAAGCCATAGAAGTTGAAGTAGAATCTGTTCAAATTGCACCAGTTGACAGTGACGCTACTCCAGTCAAGTCTACATCAGCTTTTGTTGATACGAACATTCAGGTCAATACAGCGTCTCAAGGTTCCCAAAAAAGAAAAAGGAATGATCCTGTCGACGACACTCTAATGGTTCCGGTTTCCAAAGTTCGCCGTGTTGCCTCACTAGATTCAGCTAATCAAACCCCAATTGCTTCGGGTTCCACACCTGTTTCAGATTCTCAAGGTGCTTCGATCGTTCACGGAGATATGATGAGCGGTCCAAATCCCGATCTTGATTCATTCCGTACCGAGTGGAGAGCTGAGCTTAATACTACTTCTGAGTCCGGTCCTTCTGCGCCAATTGCAACACAAACCCCTTGCTCAACTCGTCCTGTGCCACACGTAACAAGACAGCCTCAATTGACCGCTGAAGATTACATGATGACGACTGGATTGGGATATGAGGTTGATAATGCTGGCACTATTATTTACGCGGACCAGGATAACCTTATTCAAGCTCATGAACTCGTTGATGATGACGATGTAGTTTATGATGCTCCTTCGCCCTCATTCCCTGTCTCAAATCGCACTCGATCAGCGAAAGAGACGAAAAAGGCCATAAAGGCATGGATGGCTAACAGCGAGAAGGTCGTCAACTATCCACCACTTGATTTTTCTGAGCTCGAAGACATCAAGAAAGCCACTGCTCCAGAAGCCCGTATATGTAATTCTCTCTCAGATGATTTACCTGTGGATTGGGCTCGCGTTGGTAAGGAGGCGCTTGATCCTGAAGACTTTGCTGAGAATCCTGATCCTACCGCTCGTATCTTGTTCCTCGACATTGCCGACGAGTCTGCTGCCGGATCCAATTTAACTGTCGCTAAGCATATCATCTTCTTGACTCCTTACTATGCTGAAAAGCAAAAGTACAATTCTTCAATGACTCAGGCAATGGGCCGTGCAATTCGTCATGGTCAAGAACCAGGTGGCACTGTGACTGTGCACCATTTACTTATTCAGGATTCTGTCGAGACTGATATTGCTTTCGAACTTATGGACGATCAATTTCCAGGAAGGGTCAATGCAACGGATTTACTTGCTAAGCACAAATCTAACATTGAGCTTGCCTTTTTCTATAGATAAGCTAGACTGATTGGTCTGTATTGTCTGTCTATGGTCTCTCTCTTCGTCGATTATGTTCAAATCACAACGGTACTATACAATACCAACTGGTGTACGCTTAACGTGTGTGTACGAACGCCGTTTACTCAATCTGTATATCTCGGACTTCAAGTCTTGCTCGCTCACTTCCTATGGTCAAGCTGGATGAGGGATGCATGGATTTTAGGTTGAGTAGATCACTCAAAATGATCTGAGGGAATTTCCCTCGTGGGGTGGCTTCTAATTTTTTATTTTTTTGTTCTTGTGGGAGATTGGTGGGTTGTTTCACGAATGATAGTGGTGAGGGCGGTGGTAATGACTTCAGTGGTCTTCAGAAATAGGAGTTTGTTTCTCACTTGTGGTGGATGTATAAAGTCTATGACTTTCTCTCCTAGTTCTCAAATTGGGATTAATTAGTTTTGTCTTTGACATATGTCGTTGACTAGTGTTCAGATATCTCATTGATAGACGATGGGAAAGGGTCTAGTTATTTCATTTGTTTTTAGATATCATGAGAGTTCTGCCAGTCGCATAAACGCTTCCAGCAGAAATAAAATAAGATCATGGAGTTTTCATACCAAACAGAACCTTCTGATCCTAGAAATGTGAATCTTATGTTTGAAGTGATGTGATGTGAGATGATTTCGCTTGCGATTCGACTTATCACACTGACTTGAGCCACTGACTAGACTATTCCAACATCATTATGGTACGTTCATCCAAATTATTCGGGGAACTTTGAAGAACGAAGTGATTCAGTATCTTCTAGATCATGTATTCGGAGGGGGAGAGAATGGAAAGGGCATCGAATCCGTCTGCATATTCACATTCTAGAAGCCTAAGAAATAGAGATCGATAACATTATCCGGTACACTAGCCACGTTATATGATCTTTTATATTATCATCAGTTGAAATAACTCCATTTAGTATTGAAAACATGGCATCTTTTAATATCTAAAAGATTTAAAAGATTTAAAAGATTTAAAAGATTTAAAAGATTTAAAAGATTTAAAAGATTTAAAAGATTTAAAAGATTTAAAAGATTTAAAAGATTTAAAAGATTTAAAAGATTTAAAAGATTTAAAAGATTTAAAAGATTTAAAAGATTTAAAAGATTTAAAAGATTTAAAAGATTTAAAAGATTTAAAAGATTTAAAAGATTTAAAAGATTTAAAAGATTTAAAAGATTTAAAAGATTTAGAATATTTTCCTCCATGTTTTCATGCCCGTGTGAAAACTCTCTATTATAGATCTCGATACTTCGGAGAGGTTCTATTCACAAGACACTATGTAGGAGATTAAGCATCGATATAATTGCAAACAGACAAGCAGATAAATCACGATACATAAAGCTTGCTAATACGTTCCTAGAATGTAAATAGAATACACAGTTCATCGAAAGCAAATACTCCGGACTGTACAACAATCAAATACGATATAATCAATCTCTTCTCCACCCACAACCAGCAATTTCAAAGAGCTCTTTTTCCCCGTGCGTAGTCCCGTCCTCCTAACCCCCCTTCCAGATCAAAAGTACCTTCACTTTATCACTGCTAACTTTTAAAACAGTCCACATTCCACAAGTCACCTTACAACAGTTATCCAAGATGCAATGCTGCTTCTGCAGATTCTGTAACTTCAGCAAGCATGAGAACTGTAACCAATGCGAAGCCTATATTCCGGTGGACAGGATCATAGAGCGGATTCGGATCACCGAGCAAGCTGACAAAAGTGTGGAGATAAAACACGAGGAGAACGTGGAATTGTGGGCACCCGCTTCCAAGTCGGATGCAGAGAAAGAAGAAGATAAACGGTGCATGGTTGTAGAAATCAAGAAATTCAGGTCGCTTGTCTCTGTGGTAATGAATGAGAAGTATGTGCGGGTCTCCGCCGCACATAAGGATGCTGACGGCTCGGCGAAGTATGGACCCGTTAAGAAGGCCGAGTTGTGGAATGTCTCTGGAACGACGACGTGAGACATGGTGCAACGTTTGGGAGCTGATGCTGCTTGGTCGCCACATGAGGGGATGGAAAGTATGGAGATAGGAGGCGACTGGGAGAGGAATGAGAATGGGATACGGAATGAGGAATGTGTGGGGACAAGGGTGAAGGTCTTGGTGGCGGGATGAAAGTTTTCGTCTTGACTCTTGATAGACAATCAATATTCAATGGTTGATTATGGCTCTGACTACTTCCCCCTCTTCAAATTTTCTCTCTCTTCTACGCTTAGTTTGTTGAATTCTGCCAAGATTGTCTCATTTTCAGCAAGCTTTTCCTCTGCTGCCTTGGCTCTGTCCTCTGCTGTCTTTATATTATCCTCGATCGCCTTCTTTTCCGCTTCCATTTTCTCTATGCCCTCTCTTTTGAGTTTTCCCATCCATTTAACGTCAAATAGTTCTTCTTCTGCCATATAATGGGGATAACTTGGACACTGCCAATGAAATTGACGGTCGTAAAATTTGACCGATTCATTAAAAATGTTAGGGGTTACGTCTTCAAAAGCACTGCCGAAAACCATCTCGAAATTTTTCGCCGCTTCCGAGGGCACTACGTTCTTCCTTGCTAACGCCGTTCTTACCGCGCCTGCCCATTGGCCATTTTCAATTGTGTCAAGCTCATACAATTCCCACCATTCTGGGAGATAACCCCCACGTTCCCAGTCGATGATCCCACTCAAATGCTTGTCTTTCACCATAATATTCTGCATGTTTAAATCCCCATGCGTGAGCACAAAAGGTCCGCCAGGCTTGATATGGAGGGAATATTGTTCCATTAAACGATCCTTGCGAGATTTATCCTGAATGCTCGGTTCCACTCGAGCCCACCATTCGTCTACATCAGACGTCCAAAAATGCAGGGCCCGTTGAGGACCGAAGGTTGTGTCTCTTATTAGCGAACCATCTGGAGCTTCTAGTTTATCTGATGTAAATTTACGTAGTTGTACAAGACAGTCCGCGACTTCGTCAGCAAGAACTACTACCTCTTCCCATACAAGTTGTGCCCCAAGCTTCAGCAACGATTCACCCGGAACCCTATCCATGAGAAAGAAATTACTTGTACTATCCGACCAATGCTTCATATTCTTTGCCACAGGAATCGTCGAGTTTTCTTCCAAGAAATGAGTTATTGGATATTCAGGACCTAGGTAGCGATCACCGAATCTATTGTCATCAATAGCCATTTCTTTCAAAATGTATTTGTCGCCAATTGCCCATACACCCCTAAGGCCACCGTGGGCAATCAATTTAATAGTGCTGATGTAACCGCCGTGACTCGCATTATCAGCGGTGAATCCGCAATTCTGGCATAGCAAGAGATCTGGCGATTTTGGACGTTTCGCATGGTGCTCCATCGCCTCCTCGTCTGTAGTTCCTCGAAAGGGTGTATATTGTACTGGCATTTTCCTGTATGTATTGAGGGGCTTGAAGTGAATCGACGTACGGGCTTCGATGTGAAGATTTGATAGTGATAGGTATGTCTGATTACAGCAGTATAGATAGATGGTGATACGTAGATATAGAGTATAGGAAAAAGACAATCAGAAATATAAGATCTCAAGAATAAAGAAGTATTATAAAACACGAACCCCACTATGTAGAATAAAGTTTAACAATGCAGATATAAAGTTAGAAACTTTACTACTAGCGTACACGATAAATTCTCCACCCAATTGCTGACGAATTTTGTATAATCCTTGTTGTTATCGAATTATTTTTCTACTGAATGAAAGAAAAGGGATGGAATAGAACTTATTGCATTGAATAGGTAACAAAGGAGATGGTGAAGATCTCGATTGGAATGAACATCTACCGAAGACGAATGCACATTCATTTCCGTTGTATATGAAGAATAAAGGAGACCTCGGGATGTGCCATAGAAGAAAGAATCTCGATCGAAATATGTCCCAATGCATATGAACACGATGAAATAATAATAATCAATGTAGATGGAAGTGCCAACTAGGAAGAGTAAAGCCCCTTGTGTGGTACGGAATAGAGGTTCACGACAGAACCACCTGGATTTCGATCATGAACAATATAAATAATAGGTTACGAGTGACATCCAAGCATGACAAAGAAAATAGGTTTGAACATACTTTTTATTCTCTTGGTATGATGATTAGGGGTCATATAAAGTGGAATATGTGTGAGCACACTTGTGGAGTTTCGAGTTAGGTTGACAATCTTCAGTCTGAAAGAAGAACTCATAGTATCCTATCAATGGTAGTAAGATGGGTCTATAGCCCAGAGTATCTGCCAAAGGATAGGTCAATTGTATCCTCCGCTTTGTTGATGATGAATTCGATGATTATGATGTATTGAGAAAACTGTGTAAGGAACCTGGGTATGATTTGATCAAGGTTTCAAGCTTGAGTTATGTTATGTGCCTTTTTCTTCAGACTCGCATAGTCTTTATTGTGTTTTGTGAGACATAGGTATATACACATACTTTGACCTTACTTGAGACTTCTTCGGGTAGGCAGTATTGATACCAGGCTCATGCGATATCATAGCAGTGCGTGATATCGTTGATGAATAGAAACTATAGCTTTGGAAGTAGAAGATTCCGTATAAAAGTATCGAGGAAGTAGCTTTACTTTGTACACCCACGTATTCTTATAGTAAAAGGGGAAACGGAAAGGAGTTATTGCAGCACTAGCTATCAGGAATCGAAAGGAGAAGTAGTAAATAAATCAAGGTTCCGAATACTCTTAGATGATATCTTTGAGGAAGTCATGATATGACGAGGCCGTGAAAAAAGGGGTTAGTTGATAACCTTATCATGAGGAAAGAATGATCGCGTTGCCTTTCTTATGTAAGATTCTACCTTCAAAAAGTAGCAGCGATAAAGCTCCATTGATCCATCTCGGGTACCACTAGTCTCTAGATACTCCCATTCATCTAAAAATCATATATATGATGATGTGTTGACGATATTGACGTTATTGATAGTAGAACGGACATGGAAAATGCAAGATTCCGGCTTAGAAATATCCGATCCTCTCGAGAGCCCCTGACCGATTGCGGGTCTCGGCTGCCGGGTACGGTAAACAATCTTACCAATCATCTTGATATACTTTCCATTCTTCATTTTCCATGAATATTCGCGATTTTTCTTATATCAATAGGATTGTATGATCTTTCATCGACGCAAGTATCAAAACGTGAATAGCTCCAAGACAAAGAGGTTGCGGTTTATCGTTGTCGTTGAAAGTAGAATTACCATACGAAATCAAGGTGGTGGCGAGCTGACTCATCAACAAACCCATCCGCCGAATCTCCGCTTGAAGGTAACTCAAACAGATAAGGAACAACGAGATGGGAGGAAATGGAATTGCGGGAAAACGCCACGGGAATGGGATGAGTGATGAGCGAACTTCATTGCTCGGGCACAGTGAGAGCAGAGATCGGGTTGATGGAGATGAAGATACATTGACAGGCGGGCAAAGTGGGGGAGACGATGCTATCAGCAATGATGAAGAAGATAATGAGGATAAAGCAAATCAACAGGTTGGGAAATTGAGAGCTATATTGATCAGTATCAGTGTGTTTGGATTGATATTTCTTCAAGGTGAATTTCCCTCGTATAGCTCCGGGAGTTTTTGATGGGAGATGAATGATCTCTCTCTCTCTCTCTCTGACTGAACTTAATATACTAACACAAATTATACCTACAGCCTCAAACATGTCCGGAATATCAACCACCCAGTCCAAAATAGCAGAAGATCTCAATTCATTTGCTGAAGCAAGTTGGTTTACATCCACCTACCTCGTAAGTCATTCTTCCCATGATCAAACGATCACGCCCTCACATCTCACCTTCAGATCGCCTTGTCTTCCATGTCCCCTGTGGCCGCTCGTTTGGCTCAGATTTTCTCCCCGAGAAACTGCATCTTAACCGCTGCACTCCTCTTTTCAATCGGGGGTATCGTCACATCACAAGCTCCAGATCTCAAGACCTTCCTCATCGGCAGAGCCATAAGTGGAATTGGTGGTGCGGGTATCATGACGATTAGTTTCATCTTGATCTTAGAACTCACCACCAAAAAGCGAAGGGGTATCTTCATCGGACTTGCAAATTCCGGTTTCACCGTGGGTGTATCCCTCGGTGCAGTTGTCTGGGGAGCTTTATTGCCCGTTGTGGGTTGGAGAGCTTTATTCTTGTTTCAATCACCTCTTGCTATCCTTTCTGGAATCGGAATTTATTTCAGTATCCCAAAGAGTTTTACATCCGGACAGAAGAGTATCGATGGTGCATCGATTACTTCCAAACTTGCCAAGATTGATTATCTCGGCTCGCTTTTTCTCGTAAGTACCAAGTCTCCCTCACTACATTCTACCTATGAGTGGGACTAGAACTCGTACTAAACCCTCCAGGTAACAACCATAATTCTCTTCCTCTACGGCCTCTCCTCCCCCCAAATCGAATGGCTACCCATCCTCTGCTCTCTCCTTACCCTCATCCTCTTCCTCTACATCGAGCTCAAAATTGCCACCGACCCCATCATACCCATTGCCGTTTTGAAATCGCGCGGCGCTCTCCTCTCCTGCATTTCTCAGCTGGGAACCATGGCTGCGCGATGGACCGTTCTATTCTACACCCCCGTCTACGCAATTTCTATCCGCGGCTGGTCGCCCGCTTCCGCAGGCTCCATCCTCATCCCTACCAATCTGGGGTTTGCCCTGGGCGGCATCGCAGCCGGCGCGTTCCATATCAAACGAGCAGGGAGTTTCTGGCTGTAAGTTCCCTTCATTCCTGTATAAAAAACAAGAAAAATTCTAACACCCACTCCTCTTACAGGCCTTCCCTCCTCACCCTCCTCCTCTTCTCCACCACTCTCCTCTTCTTCTCCTTCCTCTCCACCCCCTCCACCCCCACCCCCCTCTACCTCCTCCTCGCCCTCCTCAACGGCCTCGCCATCGGTTCCGCCCTAAACTACACTCTCGCGCACCTTCTCCATCTCACTCCGCCCTCAACCCACTTCATCTCCACCTCCCTCCTCACCACTTTCCGCGGTTTCGCCGGTTCCTTCGGCTCCGCCATCGGCGGCGGCGCTTTTATCCGAGTCCTACAATCCCAATTACGCGAAGGATTTTCACGGAATGGGGGATTGGAAGGAAAAGAAGAGTTGGTGAGGAAGTTACTTGGTAGTCCGGCGCTGGTGGGACAATTAGAGGGAGTAGAGAGGGAAGTGGTCGTGAAGGCTTATGGAGAGGGGTTTCGGGTTTTGTGGTTGGGGGCTGCGGTGGTGGCATTTTTGATGGTGGGCGTGCAGGCTGCGACGGGGTGGGAGAATCCTGAGGTGGAGAATACGAAGGGGGAGGACAGGTTGGAAGTGGGGAATGGGTTGGGAGTTGAGAATGAGTTGTGGGAGGAGGGGATGGAGGAGGGTGTTTAGTTATTAGTGGCTTGTTCGTTGGTTGATTGGTTTATGGAATGGGAGTTGTTATGTTAGATTGGAGTTTATATACAGATAGATAGGTATGTACCTAGTGGTTTAGACGAGAGGATTGTATAAACATGACAGATAGGACTATATATAACATAGAAATATATCACTTACATATATAATTCAACACACGTTTTATAACTAAAAGCTAATTGATTTAGAAAATATAACATTAAAAACATTTAAAACATTTAAAATATTTAGAAGATTTAGATGATTTGGAAGATTTAGATGATTTAAAACATTTAAAATATTAAAAACATTTAAAACATTTAAAATATTTAGATGATTTAAAAGATTTAAAATATTTAGATGATTTAAAAGATTTAAAATATTTAGATGATTTAAAAGATTTAAAATATTTAGATGATTTGGAAGATTTAGATGATTTGGAAGATTTAGATGATTTAAAACATTTAAAATATTTAAAATATTTAGATGATTTAAAAGATTTAAAATATTTAGATGATTTAAAAGATTTAGAAGATTTAAAACATTTAAAACATTTTAAACATTTAAAACATTTGAAACATTTAAAACATTTAAAATATTTAAAAATATTGTTTTAATTAAAAAATAACATAATATATATATCTTTTTAAAGGTATTCAATCTAATATTAGCTTATTATATAATCAGATTATATGATCGTTGCTTATAAGCTTACAAAAGCAATTATTAATCCGAAAACAACTATCAATTCGAAAACAGTCATAAAATACGAAAACGACTGTAGAATACGAAAACGGCTATAAAATAAAGAAAACAAAAAGAGGCTTTATTTCGAAAGAATAAATGGATTAGGAAAAGATCTATAAGAGATTAATGAAAGCGGAAAAGCTAAATTAATAGGAAAAAGTATAAAAAAGAGGTCTTTTTCCTTTTGAATATAAAATAAGAGAAATCATTATTCAATATAGATTCTTTAATATTATGTGTTACACTACTTA